CATCAAGGCTCCGGCTGCAGTGGCGGCGGTGGCGGCGGCGGCAAAGGCGGCCTCCGAATCTCTAATTTGCGATGTGTTGCAAGCGTGTGCATTTCGCACATCATATTGCTACCGCATGTGCAACGCATGGCAACTGTAAGCAGCCGGATATGCGGGTATGCACGTCTGTGCTTTGTTTGTAGTCTATGTTCATTTGTACAGTGGGCGTTGTTGGGGTGTAGCCTTGCAGTTGCAACCCACTAATGTGGTGTTCGTGGTAAATGCTTTGATTGCAGGTATTAATCATACGACTGCAGTCAATGTAGTGACAATGGCGTAGCGCAATGTGAAATCTGCAGCTTGTACATGCACAAATTACATAGAGTTAGATGCATTAAAGTAGCTAGAAATTATATTCAGCTAAGCGAATTACTTTTACCATTACTTCAAAAGTAGGGAATCTATGAAACAGATTTCGAAAATTTTTGATAGATTTATTTTTGCATCATCTCTTGAACTACACTGACACTAGCGCTTGCAAGTCGAAATCAATATGCCAAAAGTGATAACTAACATCTAAACAGATGACCAATCATGGATCTATGCATTCGTGCCAGAAATAAGAAGTTAATTGACTTTATGGTTCTTACCAGTCTGGACAAATCAAACAAAAGTTGATCGTGGGCTCAGTACAAGTGCCTAAGTGGCAGCTGTTTCTTAAAATTCTTACTCATTGCCACAAACAACCGCCTATCAGATAAGGCAAGCCATTGAGCCTCCGTTGCTGAATTCAAGAAGACGACATATGTACATATGTATTGGCTTGTCGCTGGTATCTATGGTATCCATATGTATCGTAATCAACCCGAGTTGTGGATGGCGTTCCTTTTATATTTTATTTTATTTTTTCCAAGGAAGGCATCCCGTTATCGTACTGTTCAGCTTTATAAATAAGCACCTACGCTACTTGGCTGCATCCGAGACACCTAAAGGTGCTGGGCTAATATTTTGGCAAACTTTAAATCAATAGTTCACCAGTTCGTCAGAGCCAATTCATTACGATGAACATTTCGGTGCCCTACTTAGTGAACCGAGACCGGTTACTGAGTTGTAGGAAATATAAGATACCGTCTTTTTAACCCACTCCCTAAATGGTGTGGGTCTTACACTCTCCAACAAGGTTAAATATCTATATTCAATTATCGACAGGAAGTTTGACTGAAATCGGAACCTTATGGAACGATCCACGAACGTCATTACCACCTTTTGCGCCTGTAAAGCAGTGCTAGGCAAACGATGGGGTCTCAAACCACACAAAATACCCTGGTTGTACACGGCAGTGGTCCGACTCATCCTTTTCTATGGGATCACCGTATGGTGGCCGGCTCTACTCCCAGTAGGGCTCTGGAGACTGTATCGAATCTTTTGCCTACCGACCTTTACGATAGATATCGGGCCAGCTGAAACGCAACTATACTGAATGCAGCAAAGCATGGAGAGAGCCTGCCCCGAAAGTCACCATTAACGGGGTATAGGTACCCGGGCACAGTGGAATAATACCGGGAAACTGCGTGGCAGAAGAGCTTGCAAGGAGGGAACTGAACTACGCTAGGTAAACTCTGCGCACGATGCAGGCGTCCTCTTGTCTTCGAGTAAGCACCGACCTCATTATTAGCATAGTTGTCGGTATATTTATAGGACACTGCCTAATGGGAGCGCATGCTGAGCAAATGCATTACCCCGCTAATGATTTCTGTCGTAATTGCAGGGACGAGGAGGCGAATGTAGAACACTATCTCTGCCACAGTTCCGCTCTGGCAAGCTCAAGACTTGCTATTTTTAATGAATATGCTTTTCGGCTTGTAGCTGACCTCGACTCTGTGGACGTCCGCGACCTACAACGATACGTTAAGGTTACACGATGGTTCTATCATATGGAAAACTAAGGGAAAGGAACAAATAGGGACACGAATTTCGATACGATACGGTACCATATTGATACTTTTGCTACTCGATACCGATATTTTTTACTCGATAGATTTAAAACGATAGTTTTTGGAATAGAGTACCATAACCCTAGTATCGTAACGAATTTCTAATAGAGTATAGTGCTTATCACGACTAAGCGGCTGTGTAGAGTGTAGTGAAAAATAGTGCGTACTAAATTCCATGGTTGCATGGTTGTTTAAATATGTATACATTTCATTTCTGAGCGCAAGAGCTTTAATTAGTCCTGAGAACTATAAATCATGCGAACTCACACACCTACGTACTTAGAGCTAATTCACATCATATTTTACACATCGCTGGAAATATCGACAGTTAAAATATTTATTTATGTTTCTCATAATGGCATAACAATAATATGTACGTGTTTGGCCGAGCTTCTCCTCCGATATGTGGCGCGTGCCTTGATGATGTCACACAGTTTTACGCCGACTCCGAATGGCGATTGTATTTTTATGCGGAGCTCTTTTTCATTGCAGAAATACACTTGGAGGTTTGCCATTGCCTGCCGAGGGGCGACCGCTGTTAAGAAAAACCCTTTCTGTACTCTTTTCTGATGTTAGTATGTAACTGGGCTCGATCCCAGGCCGTGCGGAATGGTAGTGAGCACTTCAAACCACTACAACACAGCATCCAGGTACGCATTACATATGTACATACATGTATCGCATTAATAGTTACATATATCCTTCAACGCATAAATTCCCCTTGCTAAGCTGACATAGACAAATGATTGTGTGTCATTGCGTGAAGATTTGCGCAGACTGCTTGGCTCTGCCGCTAATTTAGCTGCTATGCATGTTGGCATATTGTCTGGCCTGCTTTCCAGACTGATTGACTGCCTACCTGTATCTTTGTCTGACCTGCCTACTTGCCTTCGTTGAGTTTGAATCTGTAACAGCATATTTAAGATTAAGTGGCTCTTCTAGGCTTTGGAGCATTAAGTGCATCATTTGGTTTTTATTTTTCTTTTGGCCTACTTTGTTTCACCGGCTGCTTCTACACGCAATTGCTGCCTAGATGTGTGCCTCAATTAGCTGCTCCTTGCTATTTCGCGCGTTTTAGCTGCTCGCCTTCCACTAAATTTTGCATTAAAGATCTTGACTTTGCATGAATTCACGCAAATGTTTGTGTAATTTTCTTGAAGTTAATTAGAAAATTAAGGATGCTCACGATGAATTACCTTTGTGGTTGTACAATATATTTTATGAGACGCACGTTGAATTATTAGTGAACATAAATTGCAGCGTACATTGTATGCATGTTCATAAGAATGACTGAGGAGAAAATGTTAATATTTTAGACTTGTATAAAAATGCATTTATATTACATAGATTCCAAGTGCTGTTTCCACTGTGAAAAAGTTGGCATAATCCGACGCTCTCGTTCGCACACTCTGGGCAAGTCTTGGGCGAGATGCGGAAACTAAGCCGAATGGAGTCGGTGAAGCCACTCCGACTTATTCGGTTTAAGTGCTCACCGAAGTCTGCAGCGTCTGTTATTTCGCACTACCAGCTCCGGCTGCGAGCGGGCGTCTATCTTAGAGCAAGTAGCTCGCTATATAAACGTATATTTAGGCCATCACGCACGAGAAGTTAAAATGGGTTCCAACAGCTACAACAGTTAAGCAGGGCGCTAACTCAAGTCGGGAGAAGACTATTCTAACTCCAATCAGGAGCTAAACTAAAACGAGCCAGCAGGAAGGGGCCCTGACTGTTGGCAACCTGACTGTTGGTGGATGTGAGTGGATTGACCTGAAGAGAGTAAGTTCCTGACATATCACGGCAGGAAAGTGCCACTTAAGGTTGGTTACGACAGCCAGTACTGCTGCAGACGGTTGCTCTTAGAGGAAGTCCTGAAGATTCCACCAGCAACGGAAGCAGTTAGTTGGATAGAGGTTGGTAGTCATGAAGATGGATTTGTTTCGACGGGAGAAGGAGGTGGTTCAGCGATACAGGAAAGGAGTGACCGTAGCAAGAGACCCAGTGAGCCACGTTCCAACGATGATACGGCGGTGGCCGGAAATGGCGGCGGCTGTGAAATCAGCGGGCGCGCTTCGAAGTAGCAGAGGATGCAAAGGCAAGCAGTAAAGCCTGAAGGGCAAATTGCGAAACGACGACGGAAGTTTCAGCGGGAGGGTGTGGATTTTGCAGTTGCCACGCGAGGATTGGAGATGGGGAAGCGACGGAAAGCCTAATCGCAAAGGCTATCCAAGAAAATGTCACTCCCTTTCATTTAATTTCTTTAAGCTGATGATGAGGCGGCGCAGACAACGGATCGATGGGCTGTGTAAGCTTTACACCGACCTAAACTTAGTGCGGCGAATTAAAATACATCGGATTTGCCGTCTTGGATATACAAGTGGAGAAGCTCTTGGCTTCACTTGTCATTTCTAATTGGCGTCAGTTGGCACAGACGAGAAACGACTGGCATTCATTGCTAGACTCAGCAGGAATCGCTTAGGCGATTACAGCGCTAATCAAGAAGAAGAAGAACAATGTACTTTAATAACGCACACGTCTACATAGCTTTCGTTTTTTCTCTAGTTGGTAAAAAATCAAACGCTAAAGAGCTGATTCGATAGAAATATGGCGGATTTTTGGAAGAATTCATACGCAAAGCAGTGCGGAGTAGATAAACGCGAATATCTCTCTTACCTTTGATTCCATCCCTTTCCTTCTATTGCGTTGACCAATGATGGGGAAATCTTGTATTTTACTTACTTAAACTGTTTTATATGAAACGCATTTTTAATTATTTATCTTCTTAACTACTGCGAGATATTCTAAGAAAAGAAGCTTGAATAAATATAATGCGTCTTGCAAACAAGTTATGATAATTATTTAAATAATCTTAGGACTGTTGGAATGGCCCATGTCAGTTATTATTTAATTTTACAAATTTCTGATTAATACAAAGTTGGCATTAAACAGCTACAAACGCTTGAGTGACTTTCCTCCACTCCATGAATATATAAATTTAGCGCAGTTTAGCATTCAATTCAGAAGCACTAAGCTACTCAAACAACCCACAAGCTTTGATACTTCTAGTAAAATGGCAAGATCGGCAATTCTACTAATTTTGAGCATCATTTGTTTAGCGCAACAGGTGAGCTAATTAGCTAAAATTGCATTTGCTATGTACGATGACGTCTAAAATTTCATTTCATTCCAGCTCGTCACAGCATTTCCCCGTCCCGAGGCGGATAACGAAGAAGCAAAACCTGCCGAAATTGATTATCGCACACTACTTCAATCATCACTTCTCGATACAATTGCACTCATTCAAAATCACACCAGTTTAATATTGCGGGAAGAGGGTCAATTTGTTGCCGATCTGCTAGCCGGAGTGAATGAAATACCCGAGAAAAGCGCTTACATCCAAGAGTTTATTTCCAAATTAAAAAGTATTCTAGAACGCAAGGAGAAATTGGATTTACAAGATATTTCACCAGAGGTTTTAAATGAAAAAGCTGCTATTATAACGGCCATTGCAGAAGTTTTTGAAGATATTAGCCGCATAGCGCTAAGAGAAGATGACAGCAGTGAAACTGTCATGTTGAAAAATGTTATTTACAAATTGGATTTGATCGGACTTAATGATCGCATAAAAAATTCAGAAAAAGAGGCTGTTCAAAAATTTGAGGTGACATGTAAGCGCTTGCTGAATTCGCTAGGTGAGCAGGAGAGTAAAGAGCGTAAAGTTTTGAGTGAATGGTTTAGCAATTTCCAAGCAAAGGAGTCGGATATAAAGAAATACGGAAGTTTTGTCGAGTTTATACGCTTTGTGCAGGCCCTAATTATACAAAATATTTAA